TCTGCCAAGAAGTGAACGTACAATGAAGCTTTTCTCAAGATGGGTTTCACAAGCATCATTCAGAACTCTGTGATCAAGCAGCAATGTGTCGTTTGTACCAAAATTTTGAGTCACAAGAGTAAGAAGCCAAGCAAACTAATGGTCCATTTTGAGTCTTGCCACAGCCATCTAATGGACAAAAGCTTGGACATTTTCAAGCGAAAAGAAGCTTCTCTGAAGGCCATTCATATCGAATCCATTGGTCACTTCGTTCGTCAGAATGAAGCAGCGTTGGAGGCTTCATACAAAATTGCTTTAAAAATCGTGCAGACCAAGAAGCCTCATACCATTGCGAAGACCTGATTAAACCTTGCATTCTGGAAGCAACGAAGGAGGGTCTTGGAGAACACCAGGCAAACAAGTTGAGGGCAATTTCCCTTTCGAATGATACAGTCAGAAGTGGGATCTCCAACATGAATGAGGATATTCTGCTGCAGGTAGTGGCTGCTGTGAGTAGTCCAGTGTATTCATTGCAGCTGGACGAGTCAACGGATGTTGCTTCATGTTCCCAACCTCTTGTTTATGTTCGTTACCTTGACAGGGAAGTCATGAAGGAGGAGTACTTGTTCTCTAAACTATTGGCCACAACCACTTGTGAAGAAAATATTTTCAAAATCCTTGAAGCCTTTCTCCTTAAACACTAGTTAGGCTGGGAAGCACTTGTCGGAGTGTGTACAGATGGGGATCCGTCTATGACCGGTTGCAAATCCAGCTACAAAGCCTTCGTGAAGAACGTCGCTCCGCATGTCTCCTTGGCTCACTGTGTGATTCATCGACATGCTTTGGCGATGAAGACTCTCCCACCTGGACTTCAAGAAGTGCTCACAGGCGTTGTAAATATTGTGAACCATATCCGAGGGAGCGCAACGACTTCAAGGATTTTTAAAGTGCTTTGTGGAGAAATGGGTGCTGACTTCTCTGTTCTCCTATTTCACACAGAGGTACGTTGGCTCTCACGTGGTAAGATTCTAAATCGCGAGCTACAACTTCCAGAGGAAATAACAATGCTGTTGGAGCGAGGTCGTACGGCTGTACGAAAAAGATGCAAGATGACTGTTTTGTAACAAAAATTGCCTACAGAGCAGATTTCTTCTCTGAAGTGAATTCCCTGAATATTTCATTCCGAGGAAACCTTACAATGCTGCATACAGCGCGTGACAAAGTGGCAGCGTTCAAGTGTAGGATTCAGCTTCATCAGAGAAGAGCTGAGGACGGTGACACAACTTTCTTCACTCAGATGACGACTCTCCTGGATTCTATGCCAGATGCTGAATGTAGTTTCCGTGAGGAAGTCTCAGCTCATCTTTTGGCAGTGAATGACGCCATCGAAAGTTACTTTCCAGGACTGGACGACCGCTGTACTGATGCTTGGATCTACAGACCCTTTTCAGTCAAGGACAGTGTCATCAGTGATGCTGATGTTGCTGCTAAGGTAGAATTTCTTCAAATTCGTGAAGTTTCTCAGCTGAAAGTCAACTTTACTGACATTCTGAGCAAAAGTGCAGGACGACTGTCCCATTCTTTCGATGCGTGCAGTGATCATGCTGATCCAGTTCCCGCCAACCTAGTGCACTGATCATGCTGATCCAGTTCCCGCCAACCTATCGCTGCGAGGTTGGATTCTCAGCAATGGTAACACTGAAAACGAAGACACACTATTAATAGGCTTGTGATCGATGCTGACATGAGGAGTTGCCTGTCGAGCACTGCTCCTCGCTTTGATAGATTTATGGCTGCAAAATAATTTCAACCCTCTCACTGAGTGAATAAGAAGTAAGTTTTGTATGAAGCTCAATAGTTCTGTGGAATTTGCAATGTTCAGGCACTTGAAGAGGCTACGTGGAACTTTTCAAAGTTTTTGTTCTGTGACATTTTCAATAAACCATCGTCTTCCTATCATTTTCTTTATCTTACCCTTTCACAAGGTTCACCATTTCAAAATTTATTATAGGGGTCACGGTAATACCCTGAAGAGTCTCGGGCGGGGGGGGGGGGGAAGTCATAGGACGAAAAAGGTAAAGAACCCCTGACCTATAGGTTTTGTTTAAAATCTCTGCAACTCACTGTAACTCCCTCTCACTGCTCTCCTTCCTATTTACACCCATCACATATCTCTTCCCTTTTCCGTCCCGCCTATCTGATGTTATCCTGATGCCAAATGACTTGGAACAGGCGATAAATGACATGCCCATGCACTCTGCCCCAGGGCCAGACTCATGGAACTCCGTGTTCATCAAGAACTGCAAGAAGCCCCTATCACGAGATTTTACTATCCTATGGAGAGGGAGCATGGACACGGGGGTCGTCCCACAGTTACTAAAAACAACAGACATAGCCCCACTCCACAAAGGCGGCAGTAAAGCAATAGCAAAGAACTACAGATCGATAGCACTAACATCCCATATCATAAAAATCTTTGAAAGGGTCCTAAGAAGCAAGATCACCACCTATCTAGATACTCATCAATTACACAACCCAGGGCAACATGGGTTTAGAGCAGGTCGCTCCTGTCTCTCTCAACTATTGGATCACTACGACAAGGTCCTAGATGCACTAGAAGACAAAAAGAATGCAGATGTAATATATACAGACTTTGCAAAAGCCTTCGACAAGTGTGACCATGGCGTAATAGCGCACAAAATGCGTGCTAAAGGAATAACAGGAAAAGTTGGTAGATGGATCTATAATTTCCTCGCAAACAGGACACAAAGAGTAGTAGTCAACAGAGTAAAGTCCGAGGCGGCTACGGTGAAAAGCTCTGTTCCACAAGGCACAGTACTCGCTCCCATCTTGTTTCTCATCCTCATATCTGACATAGACAAGGATGTCAGCCACAGCACCGTGTCTTCCTTTGCAGATGACACCCGAATCTGCATGACAGTGTCTTCCATTGCAGACACTGCAAGGCTCCAGGCGGACATCAACCAAATCTTTCAATGGGCTGAAGAAAACAATATGAAGTTCAACGATGAGAAATTTCAATTACTCCGATATGGTAAACATGAGGAAATTAAAACTTCATCAGAGTACAAAACAAATTCCTTCCACAAAACAGAGCGAAAAACCAACGTCAAAGACCTGGGAGTGATCATGTCGGAGGATCTCACCTTCAAGGACCATAACATTGTATCAATTGCATCTGCTAGAAAAATGACAGGATGGATAATGAGAACCTTCAAAACTAGGGATGCCAAGCCCATGATGACACTCTTCAGGTCGCTTGTTCTATCTAGGCTGGAATATTGCTGCACACTAACAGCACCTTTCAAGGCAGGTGAAATTGCTGACCTAGAAAATGTACAGAGAACCTTCAAGGCGTGCATAACGGAGATAAAACACCTCAATTACTGGGAGCGCTTGAAGTTTCTGAACCTGTACTCCCTGGAACGCAGGCGGGAGAGATACATGGTTATATACACCTGGAAAATCCTAGAGGGACTAGTACCGAACTTACACACGAAAATCACTCACAACAAAAGCATAAGACTCGACAGACGATGCAACGTCCCCACAATGAAAAGCAGGGGTGTCACTAGCACGTTAAGAGACAATACAATAAGTGTCAGGGGCCCGAGACTGTTCAACTGCCTCCCAGCATACATAAGGGGGATTACCAATAGACCCCTGGCTGTCTTCAAGCAGGCACTGGACAAGCACCTAAAGTCGGTACCTGACCAGCTGGGTTGTGGCTCGTACGTTGGATTGCGTGTAGCCAGCAGCAACAGCGTGGTTGATCAGGCGCTGATCCACCAGGATGCCTGGTCACAGACCGGGCCGCGGGGGCGTTGACCCCCGGAACTCTCTCCAGGTAAACTCCAGGTAAATCACTATACCTTGTTCCCTCCCACCCATCAACTCGTCTCACGACTGACGTTATAGAAGTGCTAACTGGTGCTGAAGAACCTAAGTCTTCAATGACCTTTTTGAAATCTTCAGGAAAAACCTCCTATTTTTCAGTACCTTATGTACTGAAACCCGTCCTCTCTGTTGTAATATGACAGGAACCCATAACTACCTATTGTTCCTACAATATATCTAACTACAGGTACCATAGTGTAGTGTAGCAGTACACTGCTAGTGTTTCCTATGATGTAATTATTATAAAGAGTAGGGTAGCATCACAGTTCAAGTGTTCCCACAATATAAGTATCTTGTAGTGTAGCAGCATACTGCAGGTGTTCTGGCTATGTAACTATCATACAGAGTAGGTGACAGTTTTATGCGTGTTTCATAATGTATCTAGAGTAATGTAACATCACACTGCAGGTATTCTCACTACATGACTATTATGTACGATAGAGCAGTAACACACAGCAGGTGTTCCCACGATCTTTCAAACTGATCAGGGTGAACAGAGCCTAAACACAGGGCTCATGGACGCTAAGATTCAACAGTATTTTATAGTTCTTTGGTAAACGATTTTTTTATTAATTCTACTTAAAAATTACATGTCGATAAGTTGTGGAATATATTAAGCTTCAACAGAGTAAATATTTAGCCAAAGCTCATGTTTAAACCAAGTAAGCTTCTGGTTGCTCAGAAAGCTGGAGCTCACTGCCTTAAACTGCTCATGAGTAAAATGCAAAAACCGTAAGTTAATAAACTATATATTTTTTAAGACAAAGTATTCATATATTTTGTTAACTCCAACCAAATGGATGATTTCTTTTTGTACTCTTTCGAATATAAAAAAAATATTTTACCTAGAGCATTTTCATTTGTTCTACAAACCTAAAATAGAAAGTGATTTCATTATATTTTGCATGTTAATTCAAACCATTATTTTTTTTGCAGTATAAAAATTTTATGAGACGAGGGTGCGGGGTGTATGATAAATTTGGTTGGGCGATGCAGAGGGTAAGAAAGGTCAAGCAACACTAGTAGAGAGTCAAGTAGCAATACACTGCGGGTGTTCCCACGATGTAACTAGTCTAATCTTTGTAACTAGCAGTATTACTTACCTCGTAGGCGTCAGGGATGTTAACCATAGCTCCTGATTGTGCTGTGTAGCCCACCACGCCGCTGCCCCACGGAATCCTAATCTCCTCTTTCTCCTGCATCTCCTCCACCGTGGAGTCTGGGTTCACGTCGAACAATGTGGAGACCAAGCAGCGGTTGTCCGATTCCTGTTTGGCACAGTGCCATGAAGAATACGCAACAATAAGGAATGCTATTTTTCTCTTAGACCATATATATATATATATATATATATATATATATATATATATATATATATATATATATATATATATATTATATATATATATATATATATATAAACTGCAAGCAATTTAAGGAATAGAGAAGAAGGTTAAATTTAATGAGACGATTATATGCTACTTCGAGTGAGATTGAACAAATAAATACAACTATGACATTTCAACTATTACATTATTATTTAGTTCACGTTTAAACTGTCTAATATATATCCCCAAAATTCTCAACTCCAATCTGTTTTGTGCCGTGTTAAATTTTAATGGGTGATCTTTAGTCTCAGAATGTAATCATTTAGTTGAAAAACAAAGTTTAGATAATTTAGTAAGGTTCCTGTACGGTATTCCTCCACACTGTCTCCCTAAACGAAGACACCCACACTGTCTCCCTGAACGAGGACACCCACAGTCTCCCTGAACGAGGACACCCACACTGTCTCCCTGAACAAGGACACCCACACTGTCTCCCTGAACGAGGACACCCACACTATCTCCCTGAACGAGAACACCCACACTGTCTCCCTGAACAAGGACACCCACACTATCTCCCTGAACGAAGACACCCACACTATCTCCCTGAACGAAGACACCCACACTATCTCCCTGAACGAGAACACCCACACTACCTCCCTGAACGAGGACACCCACCTTATCTCCCTGCACAAGGAACAGGGAACATCTGTCGGCGCTGGTAAGAATAGAAACATTCTGCAGGATCTTATGGCAGAGGGATCGTACGTCCAGGTCGTTGCAAATGTCTTTAACCAGCTCGAAGATCAATTGGCGCTCATCAAGACCCTTGAGTTCCGTCCTGGACTTGCGACGTACCTGTCACACACAGGTATTATCATCATCATCCGCATCACTATAATGATGCGGTTGATGATAATAATGATAGGCATTTTTTTCCCTGTAATGGAATTAATTTATAGGAAAATAAGAAATGTGAGCAACAGAAAACTGGAATATTTGAGTTAAAAATTGCAAAATTTTGTTCAAAAAAGAGAACCAGAAATGGTGTAATGAGATTATTAGAATTATTTTAACCGGAGAATTAATTTTTATAACAAAGTTTAAACTGCTTTTAACATGAAGGTGAAAATTTTCGAAAAGAGAGTTGCAACTTTTTTTTTTCTGTCCAGAGAACTGGAACGGTTTTTGGACAGGGATCAAGAGCATTTCTTTTATTTTTTGAAAAAAAAAAAAAACATAAAACGATGTTTGAGCACTAAAGTAAAACTCTAAAAAATAATTATGGAAAATTTCTTGTCAAATTCTGGTTTTTATTTATTTCAACTTGTTTTTTTTAATAAATAGGACCAAATATATTATTTTTATTAGAATATAGTATTATTAAGGCATTAATAAGATGAAATAAGATTTTGTTCGGATTTTTAAACCCGGGGGGTTAGCCAGCCAGGATGACTGAGGAGAGTCAGTGCGACATCGAGGGACTGATTGTCTTATTTCCATTGTGGTCCTCAATCTTGTCCCCCAGGATGCCACCCACACCAGTCCACTAACACCCAGGATGCCACCCACACCAGTCCACTAACACTCAGGATGCCACCCACACCAGTCCACTAACACCCAGGATGCCACCCACACCAGTCCACTAACACCCAGGATGCCACCCACACCAGTCCACTAACACCCAGGATGCCACCCACACCAGTCCACTAACACCCAGGATGCCACCCACACCAGTCCACTAACACTCAGGATGCCACCCACACCAGTCCACTAACACCCAGGATGCCGCCCACACCAGTTCACTAACACTCAGGATGCCACCCACACCAGTCCACTAACACCCAGGATGCCACCCACACCAGTTCACTAACACTCAGGATGCCACCCACACCAGTCCACTAACACCCAGGTACCTACTTGCTAGGTGAACGGGGACAGTAGGTGTAAGGAAACGCGCCCAGTGTTTCCACCCAGCCGGGAACTGAACCGCGGATACTCATTGTGTGAGGAGAGAGCGTTGCCTACCAGGCCACGGGACATTATTGTTATTATTATTATTATCGTTGACATAATCATGGCAATTACAAGTCATATCAAATCAATTTTCCGCCATTTCGAGGGCTGTTCTACCTTGGCAGCCCGGTAATTTTCAAAATCTTTGAGTATCTGTCAAACCAGTCTGTTGTTGTTAGCGGACCACTGGCCAACTTATTCATCACAGCTTGGTTGATCTGGCACCTAGCTGAGGCAGTGATCCGGTTTCCTCTTGACTTCTACACTTGTACCGACAGTATTACTGACAACTACTGATAGCCGGTAAAAATAATCTTGGTCCACGGATATTGACACAGTGTTCACTTAATGTGCCCATGGCGCCCTTGCTTATCTCTGAGTTTATTTTACATTTCCTCCCATATCTCTCACTCCAGTACGTTGTTATGGTGGTGTGTAGCTCTGGGACCTAGCCCTTCAATATTTTCTTGGTGTATATTACCAGGTAACTCCTCACAGTTGTGTCACAGTCTAAGTTCTCTCTTATCCGCCTTAGAGTGTACATTCCAAGCACTTTGAAACGTTTATGATTTAATTTAAAGAGAGATACAGTTTTATGAGCAATACCCACTTGAGTTTATTGATACTTTTGGTAAGAGCTTCAGAGTGCCGCTGTAGTGATTCATGGAAGCTTAACGTAAATCATTGGTACAGTAGTCGATGAGTGAGGCTCTGTTTCTCTCTTCCCTGTCTTTCTTTCTCTTCTTCTCTGTCTCTTTCTGTCTGTCTCTGTGTGTGTGTGTCTCTCTCTTTCATGACTAGAGTCTTAGATATAAGTAGCACTATCTCGGCTGTAGTTTAATAAATGCGTCTACCAGATAACTCAACAATGGCCGTAAAAACTTCTGTTACTGATGTTTCCCATGTCCTTAGCTGAGCTACCATACCATACCTTGTTCTCCCATGTACTTTCATACCTTCCTTACTCCCATAGTGCTCTTCAAGTGTCATAAGTGGTAATATTTTTACTATCTTCTTTTAAATCATGTGTGTCTTATTTTTTCTGTGAAGAAATTGAAATTTTAGTAAAATGCTTAACATATAAAAATGAAAATACTGAGAGAAATCAAGAATTTTATTTATTTGCCTGTGAGGCAAAATATGTACATGTCCTTAAGTTTCCTCCCACGTAATTCCATGTTTATCCATATCCTTCCATGTCCTCGCACGTACTCACCTTGGCCAAGATGGCGACATTCTCAGCGGCTGCGGGAGGAGAGAGGAAGGTGGGCGTTCCGTCTATCGTAGTAACGATAGGCTTCACAAGGCCGCCCTTCTCGAACTCATGGGCGGAGATCTTCCTGACGGGAGTGGCGGCTCCTGGAGGCACGAGGAAGAGGATGTTAGTACATGCAAGTCACTTATCACCTATTCTGTTATTAGTTTCGGAGGGTTAACGCCCCCTGTGGTTCGGTCTTAGACCAGGCCGAAACTAGAAAGTGAATAAGGACTGTTTAGAAACTCACAGGAATGAGAGGCTCCTTCTACAGGAGGCGAAGAATCACTGAGCTTCTCAATGAGACGAGACTATCTGAAATGCTGAAGGAAGCACTGGCCAGGGAAGAAGAAAATATTGACCTTAAGCAAAATGATTTATACAGGATCCAGGAGAGAGAGAGAGAGAGAGAGAGAGAGAGAGAGCAATTAATGAAATTTAAAGAAATCCAAAATATTTCCTTTCATATGCCAAAGCAAGGCACAAACTACATCAATCATCGGGCCTTTGCTCAAATTAGACAGAACTTACACAGACAACAGTAAATAAATCAGTGCCCCAGAACGACTATGTTGAGCGAGACATTTTTCAAATTTAAGATCAACAGTTCGAATGAATTTTTCACGAACGAGCTTCAAAATACTGTCAATATATGCCAATTTTTTTTATTGTAATAAAGTTGGTAGAATTACCGACAATATGTAAAGTAAAAGGACACAAGTGCAACTAATGTGACATTTATTGTGGCAACGTTTCGCTCTCCAGGAGCTTTATCAAGTAATGGCTTGATAAAGCTCCTGGAGAGCGAAACGTTGCCACAATAAATGTCACATTAGTTGCACTTGTGTCCTTTTACTTTACAAATTTTTTTTATTTAACCTCCAACTTTCAAAAGAAGAGAAATAATACCTAAGATGACACTATTCCAACAACTCATGCGTTCTCTTTTCCAAGTCTCCCGGTTGCTGACCCGATTGACCAGGCTACTGGCGCCTGCCGCTTGCAGAACTTGTGCACTACAGCCTGGTTGATCAGGAAAGACCGAACAATACACTGAGAGAAGGATACCGTTGAACTGAAGGAAGATTTGCACCAACTGATGTAGTGATCCGAGAAGTGGACGATGCATTTCAATGGAGATTAATTCAAAATCCTAATCTTCAGGAATGTAACTGTGGCAATCATAAACTAAATATTATTGAACCTGGACGAAAAGGATGTGAAAAAGTATAGACAACAGTGACTAAGCGTCATCCAGAAGCCAGGGGACCTCTAACAGAGGCCGGAGGCTGCATCACCGACTCCTGAGTGGGGACCTCTAACAGAGGCCGGAGGCTGCATCACCGACTCCTGAGTGGGGACTCTAACAGAGGCGGAGGCTGCATCACCGACTCCTGAGTGGGGACCTCTAACAGAGGCCGGAGGCTGCATCACCGACTCCTGAGTGGGGACCTCTAACAGAGGCCGGAGGCTGCATCACCGACTCCTGAGTGGGGACCTCTAACAG